TTTCCTCTCAATCTCCCTCTCTCTCTCTCTCTCTCTCTCTCTCTCTCTCTCTCTATTCTTTCTTTGGTCATCCAAAAGAGAATAATATTTGAACAACAGGTTGTACCATCAATTTTTTTCCAATTTCACATGAAAGTTGGTCATGGGTCAATGCCTATGATGATGATGATGATGGTGATGATGATTAGATTCAATAATTTTAACCATCACTTCAAAATGTCAGCAAACAAAAAAAGGAACACCCTCATCATCCGGAGGTAATTTTATATTGTAACGAAAAAAAAAATTCTTTTCGATTCAAATGACAGAAATGGAGAAAGGAGAAAAAAGAAGATAAATTTTTTTTCATCAATTTTTTAAGCTCAAAATTTTAAATCAAACGAAGAGAATGAGAGATAAAAAAAAGGGTTGTTGTTACAAATGATTATGTCGAAGTAAAAAATGAACCAAACCCATATTTTAGCGAAAATTAAAAAAAACAAAAACATTTTTGTCAAATTGTTATTGGACAAATAAAAAAAATTTATCTCCAATTTTTTTAACACCAACCAAAACAAAGAAAAAAAAACTAATGAATTTACAAAAATAAAACAAAATCACACCCATTATCATATATATGAAAATATCAAATATCGACTGTTATATTTCCAGAAAAACAAAAATGATTTATCTACATTGATTTAAACTTTGACCTTTTCCAATGGCCATATGTATTGTTTTTTTTTCTTCTTCTTCTCGTTGGCTTTGTATGGATGATGATCAACTATTAAATATTTACCCATGATGATGTTGATGATGATAATTTAGGGAGCGTACCGGATGGATGACCTAACATACACACACACACACATTTCACCATTTCACACTAATATTTCTATTTATATTTAATTCACCTTGTTGTACACCCTAATTGTGTACAATATTTTTTTTTTATTTTGAAGAAAAAACTTTTGTCTCTTCATCTTTTTTTCTTCATAATCATCATCATCATCATCATTATTGATCAAATAATTTCATTGAAAATGTATTCAAGTCTCTCGATCAATTCTCTCACAATATTCGTATTTTTTTTTTGTTCATTCGAATTCGTTCTCACTTTTTTTTTTGTTGCTTAAGTGAGTGAATTAATAGTGTGTGTGAGTGCGTTTTCCTCTTCGTTATGGGTTCATATTTTTTTTTTTTTTTTTTTTTTTTTTTTTTTGCCCCAAAAAAAAATGGCCCCCCCTTTTTTTTTTTTTTTTTTTTTTAAAAAAAAAAAAAAAAAAAAAAGGGGGGGNAATAATAATTGGTGGTGGCTGGTTTTTTCTTTTTTTTTGGGGTTTTTTTTTTTTTTTTTTTTTTTTTTTTTTTTTTTGGCACCAAAAAATACTGGCCGCACCTTTGTTTTTTCGCTTTTTTTGTAAAGAAAAAAATCAAACAAATTCCCATTTGTTTCAAACAATCATCATCATCAACAAATATTCACTTTAAGATCATATAATGATCTTGATGAAAATCAATGTTCATAAAATGATTGACCATATTTTATTTGTTTAACTAATATCGTTTAATTAGAAAAAATAAACTAAATTACTGATAATTGATTGGAAATCATTGGATTTGGTCAACAATCATTTGATAATTACATTATTTGTTCATTAATTTCAATCCTTTTTTTAAATAAGCATTTTTGATGAATATTTTGTTTTCAATTTGATTGAACTAGTTTTTCATTTCTCATTTTCACAAATTTTCATTTCATTGGTATTGTTGTTGTTGTTGATTTTCATCAATTTTATATCCGTATTATCGGAACAGAAGCCTAAAGAGAGAGAGAGAGAGTGAGATGGAAACCGGATAAATTTTAATTAAATAAGCAACAATCATGGTTAATTTTGATCAATTTTTCTTCTTTTTTTTTGTATGTCAAGGAGAGTAAAATAATAATAAAAGAGAACGCGATTGAAAATGATAAATCATATGAATAGTTTTATCCAATAATTTTAAATTGAAACCATACATTCATTTGAATGAATAATAAATTGATCATTTATCATTCATTTTAAGTTTTATCACATGTTGACCTGATCAAGAATAAAGTTCAAATTGAAAAATCAACAACAAATTTGATTTAATGTTTGAACGAAAAAAAACTGCGAAATTCCTTCATTTTTTCTTAACTTTCTTCATACATTACATTATATAGTCAAATTGATGAAATGATGATGACATTCAACAACTATATATGATTATTTACGATTAAAGATTTCCTGTTTATTTTATGTTCTATGTATGAAAAAAAATAGTAAATGGCCATCATATAATGGATTTGGACAAACAACAAATGTCAAAAAATAAAATATAAAATCTTTTTATTTTTCTTTATTGTTGTTACTATTTTATCAATTAGCAAATGATCAATATCTTCTGATTAATGACAATAGTAGTGATTTTTATTTTGATCAATCAATATTGATAATAATGATGATATGATGAAAAAAAATATATATAAATTGATAAATACATTATCGATATTTGGATATATATTTGTTGTTGCCAATATTTGGATTGATCAATCATTTTTGATTTGTATATGGGAAAATATAGGAGAAGGATATCGGATTACCCAATAGCGTTCACATTCACACATAAGATTGAATAAAATTTTCTTTGGCAGATTCATCATTTCAAATGGATAGAATTTTTTTTTTGTAGACAAATCACTACAGACCAGAAAAAAAACACCAGATATAAAATAAATTTATTTGGTGTGTGTGTGTGTTCGGTCTATCAATTAAGAAAGCCGAAAAGTGAATTTATTTTTTTTCTTTTGACTGATTAATGGCCAATTTTAGTTGATTTGATTGCATGACATACCAAAGAATTATTTGTCTATGAAAAATTTCAAAAAATCGAAAAAAATTCCAGATTGTTTTTTCAAGGAAAAATATCTGGTCATTTTTTTATTTTTTATTTTTCTTGAATTAAAAAAACAAATTGAAAGGAAAATTTGCATAACACAAAAAGGAAGAAATTTTTTTTTTTTTTTGATAAAAATCAAAAAAAAAATTACCATCAAAAAAAATCATGGATTCTTGATATACTTGAAAATGGAATCTTTTTT